TGCACCCCACTGCTGGTGACACTGGTGACACTGGTGACACTGGTGATGGTGCCTGTGGGAGTTTCTCCCTATGGCTTCCACAACTGCATCCAGGCATGGTGGGACCCTGGGCTGTTCCGCTGCATCCAGCGCTTCCTGGGCACTGTGGGGGCTGCAGTGGGTGACCTCCCCTCCACTGCCACCTCCCTCAACCTCTCTGTCAACACTTTGCACCAGGTACCCCCCCGTGCCTTTGCCCACCTGCCGCAGCCCCACACCCTTGATCTGACCCACAACCAGCTGGAACTCCTGGCCCCAGGGGCTTTCTGGGGGCTGTTGGCACTGGCCCACCTAGACCTGGCCCACAACCACCTGTCAGTGCTGGCCACAGGTGTTTTCACTGGGCTGGGCAACCTGAGCTTACTGCGGCTGGACCACAACCCGCTGCAGAAGGTGGCTCCCAGTGTTTTCCAGCCACTGGCTGCACTGCCTGTGCTCTGGCTGCAGGGTGGCCAGCTCAGCGCACTGCAGCCTGAGGCCATGGCCATGGGGCACTTGACACACCTGGACCTGCTCCACCTGTGTGACAACATGCTGTCGACACTGGGCCCAGGACTGCCACCCACACTGAGGGTCCTGTGCCTCTGCAACAACTCCCTGGGAGCTCTTTCAGGGGCGACCCCTGGGGTGCTGCCCACAGGGCTTTGTGTGCTTGACCTGTCCTACAACAACATCTCAAACCCCACGCCACTCGCTCGCCTGTGCCTGCACAGCCTGACATACCTGCATCTGGCTGGGAACCCACTGGATGTGGTGCAGTTGCTGTGCATGGCTGGAGTCTCCCCGTGCCATGTGGATGTGTCAGGGCTGCAGATGGGCACAAGAGGCTTGAAATAACTGTGCCAGCAGCTGACAGGGTCACTGTCACTGTGCCCGCAGCTGACAGGGCCATGGCTGCAGAGGCTGCGGCTGCAGCGTGTGGGGCTCACAGTATTGCATAATTGCTCTGGCCAATTGCCCGTTGCTGGTTGCCCTGGATGTGTCTGGCAACTGTCTGCAGCCCTTGGGCTGTGTAGGGTGGCTGCTGACCCCGGCGCAGCACGTGGCGCTGGGTGAGCTGGTGGCTGAGCACAACCTGCTGCAGCGGCTGCCATGGTGCCACGGGACCCCGGTTCTGCACCAACTCCACAATATTTCCCTGCGCTTCAACCGCATCCTGGTGGCTGGCGCGGGTGCCTTTGGCAATGCACCGGCACTGCGGCAGCTGCAGCTGGATGTGAAGGGACTGGCGTGGCTGGACCATGCAGTGGACCCTGCGAACTGCGGCACCTGCGCCATGACAACAACCTGCTCACCGACCTCCTGTCCGGCTCCTTTGCTGACCTGCACCAGCTGGAAGATCTCAACCTGCACAACAACCGTGTGTCAGTGCTCTTTCCTGGTACCTTCAAGGGACTTGACTGCCTGCAGACCCTTGATCTGGGGGGAAACAACCTGCGGCATTTGGCGGCTGTGGCGTTTCAGGGCCTCCCGCAGCTTTGCCAGCTCTACCTGGACCGCAACCGGCTGCTGGAAGTGAGCGCAGCCGCATTCCAGCCGGTGCGGGTGACGCTGGTGATGCCTGATGATTTTTGCTTTTCCTTTTTATGCTTTCTGTACCCTCCATGCATTCGCCTGTACCCCTTAGCCCACATGCTTGTAATTCCTGAAGCCTGATATTCCAGCTTAGTTTAGGCGTTTTGCTGGGCAGAGAGACCAAACATCCTGAGGAAGGAGTCAGTGTGCCCTGTGCTATCTTAAACCCGAGACTCCAGCCTTGGGTGAAGCCTTCTGTCCAGAACATCTTGTGTAAACTAGGCTCTGGCCTCATCTGGGGGGGGGTTCATTAGAATTGGGGGACATTACTGCATTTGTTAAGTTTCTTATTGGGGAATCCTAGATAGGTATGCTAATTCCTGAAACCTATAAAACTTGTATCCGTGCTGTATACGGGTGTGCATTCTGCCATCAAGYTGTGCACCTGGGATCCCAAATACCGAGGTAAAACCCTTTTTATCCCCTTAACCGTGTCTGTGTCATTATTAAAAACTGGCCTTTCAAGGCAACACTGGGCGTGCTGGACCTGCGTGCCAATGCGCTGCGCTACCTGAGCCGACACCCGCGGCAGCTGCCACCCTTCCACTACCTGCACAACCTCTATGACCTGAAGCTGCGGGTGCAGCAGCTGTATGGGATGCGTGTGGTCCCGCAGCACTTCTTCCAGGGCCTCAGTGCCTTGAGTTCGCTCTACCTGTCACAGAACTCACTCTCGGACATCCCTGCTGATGCCTTCGATGGAATGGGGATGATGGCAGCAAGGAGGAAGAGGGGGAGGAGAGGAAGTGGGGAGGGCAGGGAAGAAGGCTTCCCTGACATGGCTGGAACCCCTGTGGAG